CAAAAGCCACCAACCAAACAAACTAGCAACGCGCGTAAACACAACGAAATTACTGAATGCCACTTTTCATTATTTTATTTCGCTATGCACCGGACGACGTCACCGAAATAGCAGACGCGGGGAGCTATGTCCGTCTCTTTCCCGCGCACTACGTTTCGTTTTAGCGGGAATTGCATAGAAACGTATGCATTCGAGGGCTTGTTTTTGTTTTCTTAAAAAATATTATTTTTGTTTTTTTTTTTTCGTTTTCACGTATCGTTTGTCGGCCGTCGATAACTGTAGAGGCGTGGGCGCGCGTCGCATAGATCGTGTACACACGTCCGCACAACTGCAGTTACACTGAGCCTAGATGACATTCGCACAGGCTTAAACTCAAGTTCATACGGATGCGGCGTCAATAAACTGGCCGGTGCTATGTTCGTAATGCGACCGATTTTCATACATGTTACGTTGGAAGTCTATAGTTTATTGCGAGTATAACCTAATAAACTTTTAACACCTACAATGCAATACACGTGCTAAGTCAACGCGAAAGAAATTGAATTTTCAGTCAGTAAAGTCTCATATGCCATTGGCATATAATCTTAACCACCTTTTATTAGTTTGAAAACATTCTCGCTGCTTGTTGCGACTACTTTTTACTTTGTTGTTTTTAATTATTCTCATAAAAGGTATCACAAAGTGTCAAACTTTGTTACTTAAAATATAATTTGCAGAAAAACTTAAGTCGGTATAAAATGTAAAAGTAGCTTTTGCATTATATTTAACTAGGTTTCGCCCGCGACTCCGTCCGAGTGAAATAAAAAAAACAATTGCAAGTAGCCTATGTGTTCTTCCAGACTATCCTCTACATCTATACCAAATTTCATCGAAATCCGTTCAGCCTTTTAGGCTACAAATTCTAATAAACATCCATCCATCTAAACTTTCGCATTTACAATATTAGTATGATAGGTTAGTTTATTTGGATTAGAAAAGTATTTTTGACTGTTGTTCCTATCACAAATAGTGGGGTATTGACCTATCGGTCACAATAGTGGCCAAAGAAAATGGGTGCGTCAAGTGTAGCCATAGGACAGAATGAGTCAGTGTATCATGTCATAATTACAATATCAGATTAGGTCATCTAGATAAATAATAATTATAAATAATTATGTTCAACTGTTTTCACATGTAACATAGAAACTTAGGATCTCTCTAAAGTATCTCTTTTTTAAGGCCGCAAATAAAATTCCACTGATGTTGCGTCCATAAACGTCAATGAACTAACAGTTAGGGATCAATAATTTGAACCCTTATAATTACAAAAATAAATCCTTATTAATGTTATAAATATAAAAGTTTAGAATGATGGAAGTTTGTAGCCTAAACTGCTGATCGAATCTTGATGGTATTAGGCATAGATGTAGACGATAGTCTGGAAAGACACAAGGGCTACTTGTTTTTTTTTTAATTCCACGCCAACAGTCGCGGGCGAAAGATAATTTACAATAAAACACAGCTCCGTACTTTGTAGCATAGATAAAATTAAAATGCATATGAGATAAGTTTTAACAAAAAGTTATGTTTCCGCCCGGGATCGAACCGGGGGCCTTCTGCGTGTTAGGCAGATGTGATAACCGCTACACCACGGAAACGTAGTACTTTGTCAACAAATAATCTTACTAATAGTATAAATGCGAAAGTTTATCCAGGATGCTTATTAGAGTTTGTAACCTAAACTGTCAAACGGATCTCGATGAAATTTGGCATAGATTTTGTTTTTTTTTTTAATTCCACGCGGATGGAGTCGCTGCGAAGGCTAGTACATTATAATATAACCCTCTTCTCTGTGGAAAATATGATTTGATTATCTACCACGGTATAAAATAATAGCATATTATTTAGTAAATAATAGAAAATTCCTTATAGACGATAAAAATTAGACAGTTCAGACTATCAAACTTCATACTAATACTATAAATGAGAAACTTTGTATGGTGGATTAATGGTTACCACGTATCTCTAAAACGGCTTAATGACGTTTTGCACAGATATTAAACATAGTCTGGGAGGTACATAGTATACTTGCATTCGCAATCGCGGGCTAGTTTACAATAATTTATATTAATACAAACAATAATTATGTTTACTTTAAATTCTTGTAAATAATGTTGTCTGTAAATTAAATCTCCTGTTGAGATGTTATTAGTTCAATGTGACCTCACTCACAGTAATAAAGCATTTCATCCAATAAAGAGAAAAATATAATCAATAAATATAACAATCGTTTTGATTCCTGCTTTCATTAAAAAGCATAGATAATAATAGAAATAAACAATAGTTGTCTACAATTATGAATTTGTTTTTATTTCATATTTTATATACAAAAGATTCACTTAACAAAAGGAAATGTGATTACAGGCCGGTTACAAAAAAAAACAAAAGTCATAAACGTCAAAGGAAGCATCTCTTGACGTCGCGTACAATGCATTCGAAAGTTTAAATTTCGAACATCGAACATGCGATGCGTTCGATTTTTAAAATGCTCGAACGAGAGCTGATTCGCATTCAGCGAAAGTAATGTTTTTTTTAAAGGCCCGGAGCCCTGCCAAATGCACCGCGGCCTCGGCGCCGGCCGTGTCAACGACCCGACGTATTGGGCGATGCATTAAGTTGGGTAAGGTCAGGTTTGTGTTTGTGAACTTTGTATGTGTGTGTGCGCTTTTACTTTCGACGCGTTTCGTTTCAATTTCGAAAATCCTGTTCTTTTTTCAACTCTTTGTTTCAACGGCCAGGAAGCGGAATTCGGTTATCTTGTTGGCATAGTAACTGGCAATGTTTTCGTTGTTTAACATTGAATTATCTTACTTCTTACTAATGTTATAAATGCAGAAGTTTAGATGGATGGATGGATGTTTGTTAGAGTCTGTAGCCTATATATATATATAAAGCCTATATTTAATTTGGTACAGACGTAAACGATAGTCTCGAAGAACATAGGCTACTTATTTTTGTTTTTTCTACTTGCAACCGGAGGAACGATAGCTAGTAAGATCATAATTCAAACTAATTAAAAAAACTTTAAAGAAAAAATGTAGGTTTCGTTTTATTTATTGCAGCTCATCGAAATTTTTCTTTTTGTTTTATTTTAACGGACAAGAATTTTTGTCGCTTTACAGGTTGAACGACAAAAGTCCTTGAATTCTCAGTCACAATACTCTTACATTTAAACACATAATTTCTGGCTAGTAAATAACGCCTTATAAAACAATAAAAGTACTGGCTGAAAATATCGACAGTATAATCTATATTCAAAAACTTTAAAATGTCAATCGTGTGTCATTTGTCTTTGGTAATTCTAACTACCGAGGTGTGAAAAAATTTTAACGTTTTTAAAATTCGAATATTTTGTGTCCATTTCGTTGTTTCTCGTGTTGTTAGTATAAATAATTTAAGAATACTCGACGATGGATCAAGGTAATATGTTTGATTCTGTACTTCCTCTGCAAATCGTCGTTGTAGATACCTTCATCAAGTCCATTTTACAAGGAAACCATACGAAAGGTTAAGAGCCCGTCCCACAAAATTGCAAATTGTCATAACAATCCAACGTGTAAAATATGTGATGGTAATATCGGATTTTGTCCCTTTATTGCAGTGATGTCATTTTTAAGCGATCTGAGCCTTTATCAGCCAGTGGTGGGACAGACCCTAAGATTTGTATACTGCACGGATGATGATTACCAGCCAGCAGATGGTGTGGAACCAAAAAAACAAATCTGACATTAGGGATGGGGATGATGCAATAAGTAAGTAGATATTTTTTGGTAATATTTTGTAGTGACATTTTGATGATGTAATCAGAATGACAAATTATGATCAAACTTTTGTTTCTGCACTTTGAATTGTTATTATTTGAATACGCTCAGGGAAATCACCTCAATAATAATATTGTTGTAATTATAACTGCGGTGTTTTTTTAATTTTATGACGTGAATTGTTTGATTATTTAATTAAATTTGGGTAAAATATTAATATATGTGAAGGTATGATCGAATGCCAATTTAGTGTGTTATTTTTTTATTTATTACTTAATTTGTTTGTGTCAACATGTTTCCTCTCTGTTCTGTCATTTAAATTAATTCTTATCTCTATAGGAATTAATCTTTTACTTGTTTTAAAAACAGACTGAAAGAGGTAGATTAACATTTCGAATTTCCTACTTTTTAGGATCACAACGTACACCACTTTTTCTAAACATCTAATTCTGTAAAACTGCCAGATAATTATTTTATTTTTATTGATATTGGGAATATTCATTGGTTTTAACCATTTTCTTTAGAAAATAACTGAGAAGTGATAAAGCAAATAGAATGCCTGTAGACTGTAAGTATTCAACTAATGTTTTTAGTATTTTTATTTTACTCTTTTTTCAATGACTAAATAAAAAGAAAATTGTAACTTTATAAGAGACTACAGAAATTCAAACAATAACCCTACCTATGTGACATGTGTTATAGAAATAATTAAACATAATAGTTAAAATTGTCTTTTCAAAATGTACTCGTATTATTTGCAACTTATTTAAAACAATTTTGAGAGGTAGTGTACATAATCACCTCGGATATTATAGAATTTAGCTGTAATTAAAAAGAAACACCCATTATGCATTCGCGTATAGTATTTATTTGTATTCCAAATAATGTTCGCTGTTCACCCGAATTTCATATCTTATCGTGGTTATCATGTCACTGACCTGCCAATTCTGCACGCCTTGACTGAGGTCATGGTACGATCGGCTATCTCCCTCGCACATACCTTATCGTCTATTCCCATCTCACTCCATCATTATACAATGGTTTGTTGACACAGGTGAATTTCGGGCTAAATGTGATTATTATTTGCTAGAACGACATTTATTACTGCGGCTTAGTGTAACATGCAGCTTGATAGTAATAACTGCTTTATTACAATAAGAATAGGAA